CTTCATGAGCCATATGCTGTAGTGCCGAAGCATTTGGCTCTTCCTCTTTTGACTTAGCCTCAGCCTCTTCCCCAGCATCTCTAGCAAGAGTTTCCTCCTCTCGATTCGCCCGTCTAGAGGTTTCAACATCATCAGCACGGTTCCTTTTCACCATCCCACTAGCTGCATGCATGCCTCTATCAGTAACTGAACATGCATACAACATTTTTACCGAATGGTGCAATCTAACTAATCCTACATAAGTTGTTTCGGATCTACTAGAAAAGTCTCTACGTATGTAACTTCAGTTAGAAAATTCGACAAAAGTTGGATAGGAATCGCTGAGACAATTCCTCTGATACCAAATATAGCGCACTTGAATTTGGAGCTGAACTCTAAGCCCATTGCACTACAAAACGAGGGTCTAGTACAATCCCACGAGCACTAGCTCCCCATATCCAGCACCTGCATGCAAGATGATGTTAGACGGAGTCTGGCACAATTTTGGCATACTGGTGGCCTAACGCAAGGAGGAGGGTACCCTATCGACTAGAGTAGCGTGAAGCTTGGGCTTAAACCCAAGCCAGACACAAAATAAAGAGCGACACAGCCTAGTGAAAGCCAAACTAATGTCTCAAGTGGTCGAATATGCATTCTAACCATTATCCCTACTATACATTTAGAATTCTCCATATCCCCCCCCCCCCCCCTTGAGGAACACACGCTTTGGGCTTTCACCCCAAGCCTCCCTCAGTATCAAGAGTTAGTCTCTAGGACAAGCTCGAAACTTACTAAATATGGAATGGCACAAGATTATGAATTTGGACACGAAATGAACACCATTGTGTTTAGGCCAACCTCTACATTCTATAGATATGCTAAATGAGCAAATCTAAACACTTTCCATAAATAGCATTTGGGACCAAAATGAGACCAACATAAAGGGTATGATAGCGAGGGTGTTTGGCAAACACGGTAAGCTATCATCCAGCGAAATTAAGGGACTAGTCTCAATACGTGAGGGTTTTTGCCAAGCTAGTGCAAAACAGAGCAAAAGAAAACTAAAAAGCCAGGCCAAGTATGCTTGGCAAAGTAGACACTTAGGAATTCCTTCTTCATGCTCATCCGGCCAAGTACAAATGCTAAGTCCAGTTTACTAACACTTGGATAAGAGGGGCCAATAAAGGGGACCAGCAATACCAACCTCCTGCCGTCATGGCAGTAAAGAAAGAGTGTCCGTACGGACTGGCCGACAAATATCTTTTGATACCCAAAGTCACATTTGCAATAGTAGATCTTACTCTACACCTTGTGGATACTGAATGTCAAGTACAACAACTGCTAATGACATAGAATCCTCATTGAGAAAATCCACAAATGCTGGAACAACAAACTTATCAAATTTTTCACTTTCATAAGAAGAGAGTGAAAAAGAAAAAACAGCTTAAAAAAGGGCATCAGTATCAGCCATAGAACTCCTCGAATGATGAACAACATCAAAATTATATATCTGAAGCTTCAAAGCCCACTAAGTAGTATGACAAACCAAATTCTTCCGCTTTAATAATGAAATAATAGCAATATAATCACCTTCTAGTAACGTCTGAGAACCATGTAGATATGCATGAAGTTTCTCAAAACCCCAAACTGTTGTTAAACACTCCTCTATTGTGGAGTAGTTCATTTCTGCTAATTGTAATGTACGGCTTATATACACAATGGGATGGCACTAATCAGACACACTCGAGTTCTCTTGCATTAACACACCTCCAAAACCAATGTTAAAAGCATCCACGCGCAAAATAAAAGGTCAAGTGTAGTTAGGATATGCCAAAATCGGAGGAGTCATCAATAACTCTTTGACATCCCCGAACGCCCACTCATAATCCGGAGACCAAATGAAAGATGATGTTAATGACTTCAGCAACGCTTGCAATAGTGCAGTGTGATCAAAAAGATGATCCACAAAACGACTAAGATACTGCATCTTGCCCAAGAAGCGTTGCACATCATTCACACACTTCGGAGTAGGGAACTTTAGAATAGCCACAAGTTTGTCAAGATAAACTTGCAAACCCTCATGAGAAATACAGTACCCAAGATAAGTTGTATCCTTGGACCCAAACATGCACTTTGACTGCTTCAGCTTTAAACCAATGTTGCATAGCCAATCCAACACTTTACAAACATCACGAACCTGCTCCTCCCATGTCCCCTCCGAGTGAATTAAGACATCATCAATGAAGTCAGCAGTCACCTTTGGCATATCGCAAAGAACCTCATCCATCATCCACTGGAAAGTGGGTGAACCAACGATTTCGCCCCAAACGATCCAAGAGATCAGCAGTGTGAGGAAGAGGGTACACATCTTGGATCGTCACTTCGTTTAACGGATGATAGTCGATGTAGAAACGAATACTCCAATCAAGCTTCGTCACAAGATTAGGTTCACATGCCTAAGGACTCCACAACTTCTGAATAACACCCTTCTCCAATATCTCCTTGACATTTACATGTAAAATTTTGATCTCCTTGGGTGACCGACAACAAACGGGAACCTTGATTGGACAAGCATCCCCGGTTGGAATTGGATGACATGTGGCAATCTTGACCTCAGACGATAGGTCAAATTCAAAAAGATCAAAATACTCCTTCATAAGCCAGTCCACTGCTACAACACAAAGATCGTCGAAGGGATCGAAAAAGGGAAGAGCAGAACAAGATAGAAACATAGGAGGAAATAGTGGGGGAACAAAAGTAATGAAAGCAGAGGTAGAAAGAGAGGGACAAAGAGGTACAGAAGTGAGAGGAATGGATGAAATATAAGGAAGTATGAGACAAAGGGGAGAAGCCTGAAAGTCACACTTGGCATGATTGTGTTGCAACCAATCCATACCAAAAATGAGGTCAAAAGCTTAATTCGGCACCACCCGTAACGACTGCAACTCAAGCTCGAGATCGCCCACACGCACAACCAGGTCCTCCTCATCCCATGCACATGCATGTGTACGGCCGTTGCCATAAAGAATGAAAACTAGTTCTGCCGCATGATGCAAGTGTAGACGACAATGTGTGGCAACAGGATGAGCAATAGAAGATAAACTCGAACTTGTATCAACCAACACGGAGAGAATAATAAGAGACCTCTTGTTATAAAAACAAGATTGGAAAGTAAACACTGGATGAACTGGTGCCGAGTGAACCCCTTGATGATACCCCCGAAAGAAAAATGGAAGGGTCACTGACTTATTCGCGCAAGGTCCCTCAGTTTACTTACGCGACTCCTTGTTTCCCAGATCCATCTTGGTGTCCAAACCTTCCACTACAGCAACACTAATGGGACGTTGTTAACGCCAAGGTCTCCACCTAGGAAATGGAGGTCGCCAATCCAGAAAACGCCGACAATGCCGATAAGTATGACCAACTTCATCACATGCCCAGCAATGAACATCACGGCCACAACCACGTGCTCGCCCTTGTCCTTGGACTCGAGCAGCAGCAACATCAACCTCCATTGGAACAGAACCATCACTCATAGGAAGTGGAGTTGAAAAATTGTGTAGCGAGAAGTGGAAGAAGCGACTTCTCATAACGTTGTGCTAAGCAAAGAGCATCATCAAGGGTGGCGGGAGCAAGTGCATGCACAAGTCTGACAAGATCTTAACGAAGTGCTAGCCACAACATTCCTAGCTTGATCCACTTCAACATATTGGGCTCCACATGAAGCAAAAGACTTCAGAAACAAATGCCAAATTGCATCACTGACTCAGATAGCTCTTGGCGAAGGACGATGTAATTGTTGGAAGGCATCATCACAATCATCGACATGGCCGAAGGCGCATTTGAAGATGTCCGGGAGAAGACTTCAATCCTCACGAGTGGCTGTGCTCAAACCATTGTACAATTGCAATGCCATCCTTTGGAGACAAGTGGCAAATTCACGCAAATATCAAGCATCATCCCATGAATTATATGTGGCAATCACCGTGAAGTGATCGAACCAATGATACACATCATCCCCAAGATTCCCGCGAAAGAACTCCGGCCGAATGCAAAGATTGGCACCAAGAGGAGGAGGAGTTGTACCACGTGCCGTGAACGCCGCCATCAATTGAGTTTGGTTGTTTAATTGCAAACGCATAGCATCAAGCAATTGGACCAACTACTGCTTTAGAGTCAAAGGAGGAGATTTCGGATCTGCTATAAAGATGAACGAAAAAGAAAAAACAAAAGAAGAGAAATGACAAAAAGCTATAAGGAAATGGTAGATCTAGACAATGCAAAAAGCTAGATCTAAACCAATATCCTGAAAAAGAAGAACAAAAGAAAGGAAATGGAAAAAGCTAGATATAGACGATGCAAAAGCTAGATCTAAACCAAAATCCCAAATTCAAGCACTCCTCAGGGACAATCAAGGGTGCCCCTCACCTCCACCAATGTAAATGTTTGGAATATAGAAAAGGAATATAGAAAATATGCATATTAATTAGCCCAAAAACCCTAATTTATATACAAAAGCGAGTGGTCCAGATTGAAACCAATCTGACGGCTACCAAAATCCCACTATGCTAATATTAATATACGGCATCGTAACTGTACACTTGGCCCTCACATTATATATTTATATGAGTTTTAACCATTTTATTTGTTAACTATTAACTATGAACTTAAATGAATTTAGATACTTTTTTAGTTCTTCTAAGTAAAATAGCGATACTTACTTTAGCAACAACAAAATGTACGTCTATGCACTTTTGAAACTCACACTTGAATGAAGATGTAAGTACTTTTTAACTAAGCAGTATCAATCCCCAACAAATTTAACTGTCAAGCTAGCTAAACTAAATTTTATTAAATTTTCTAGTGGTTTGTTTTGCATTGCTTCGAAATACGGTTTCAAACGCTGCGTGAATGAAGCGGAGAGAAAGAAAAGGAAGGCTATCACCCTGCCTAAAACCTTGATAGATCCGTGGTACTGCTCCAGCTAGGGGAATATTCTACTCCCAGGTTTTAGGGTTTTAGGGAATGGCGGAGAAGAAGAACAAGGGGGGCATGGCGCTGCGCGTCCGGCCTCCGGCATTTGGACTTCCCACGGCATGCCCGAAATGTTTGCCATCTCTTCTCTACTTGCGCCTTGCCAACATCACATTCTGGCCCGAGTATAGCGCCGCCATGCCTGATTCCGGTAAGGCGAGAATCCATCACGTTATATCTTGGTGTTTTTCTCTTTTATTTTGCGTGGCAGACGATCTTCCCATGGTGGAGCTGGGACTGCTGGTTGGATTCGCGAGCGAGCCGGGAGGAGTGGAGGAGTTCTTGCGGACGGAGAAGCTGGGCGATCTGGACGCGGATCTGGCGGAGGTGGACAGGTCGGAGCTCAAAGCATTCAAGTCTTTGCTGGTGCCGCTCAGTGACGCGCTACAGCTGGAGCTCTGGTCCAGGGAGAATGAGAGCATCGCACACAAGATTTACGTCTCGCATCTTCCATGGCCGATCAACAGGGCGATCGAGTGGAACATGAGGCGAAAGTTGATGAACAGGCTCGGAGTGAACAAAGAGAATGCCAAGGACAGAGAAGCCGAGGTGAGCTTTTATCCCATGGGGGAGAGAGATTGGAACAAAAAGTGGTTTGACGTCTCCTTGGTTGTGGTTTTAGATCTACAAGTGTGCCTTCGATGCGTACGAGGCCTTCTCGGCTAAAAAGCAAATGGACTCGCTCTATCTTGTGAGCGACAAGTAAGTACCGTATTCACTGCTGAGATTGACTCCTTTCTTTTTTTCATTTTTGTGCTTTTAAGGCCAACGAGTCTCGATGCGATGCTACTCGCACACATCTTATTCGTTCTATCTGTGCCTCTGGTATGCTGGCCACTTTCAATTTTCTCGTTATTCTTATGATGTTGTGTTGATCCTGCCATGACAGGTAGGATCTATTCTCAAGGATGAGCTGGTCTCGAAGCATCCATTGCTGGTCCAGTATGCCGAGTCCATGAAGGATACTCTCCTCAAGAGCAACGAACCATCGCCATCGGACAGTGTAAAGTCGCCACCGACATCACCCCGAGCATCAAGTCACGCTAGTTCATCGTCCAGAGACAAAGATAAAGGTTTGTTTTTTCAAGGCGATTTGATTCGATTGATTTGCTGGTTTGTTTTCTCTTTTTCCAGGAACAAACCCTGAGCCCAAGCGCAAGCAAACTCCCAAAGAGAAAGAGTTCCGGAAAAGGGGAAAGATGTTCGTTATGGCTCAGTTAGCAGCTCTCGTGGCCTACATCGTATACTCGGGCCTTCCATTCGAAGAAGACGACGGTGACGACAATGGGCATGACGACGATTGATGCAAGCCCTCTGGAAAAGCACTAACAAACAAACATCGAAAGGTTTTTCGAGAAAAAAATGCATTGACAATTCAAGGAATAATCACTTTGGTGCGAGCAGGGAAAGCAAAAGACTGATCCGTTTGTGCTTCCATTGGTGGCTGGAGATAAACAAAGAATGGATGCGAGAAAATAAAAACTCTATGGTTTTGCGGCCGGTCTCACAGATATGAGCCAAAAAGCAACAATCCGAGTCGCCACGGAATCGAACAGGTAAAGCAAAAGCTCACTCAAATCTGCCAAGAATCACACAAAGCTTAGTGCTGAATCAACACTATTTAGGCAATGGTCTTAAATCACGACCAAAGCTTGAAAGGATGATAGAGTTTGCCTGCCTTACGACAGCGATTTGTGATTGCTGTCGTCGTCTAACTTGTGTGTGTTGTCTCCACTAAAATCATGGCGTCAAACTACAGCAAAACATTTCCAGTCGCCACGAAATCCACTTCAAAAGCGAATTCTTTTTTGTAGCCATCCAAGTCAATCATTCCATTTCTTTCTCGCTGGGCTCCCAGAGGATCAACCCACACCAATTGAATAGATTAGATGAAATTCCTCTCTTGTCAGTGCTGAATCTCCGCGATTACAACAGCCCACCCAGCAGACAGGGGAGGGGCTGGGCGGGAACGCTTTTCAAAATCTCCCGCCAAAACTTAGGGTTTTAGGGTTCCTGCGGGCAATTACGTTTGCTCCGGCCGGAGACGCAATGCCGGATCGATCGGCGGGTGCTTCGACCCACCTCGATCTTCAAAGACGCGGCAATCCCATCCAATGCGCCTGTAACAGATTGGCGAGCGCCTTTGTTCCGTGTGAGCTCTCATTCTTTGTGTTTGCTTGTTCCCTGTTGGAATGTAATGCTTTCTGGTGGGCCTAAAGGGATCGTCTCGACGTCGGTATTGTCCAGGCTCGCGAAGGCTGTCTCGGTATATGATTTTTTTTTCCGCTCTTGTGGCTAGCATGTCTGTAGTACTTTGGACTAAATGCCTACTTCTTTTTCTGCGTCTAATCAGGGACAGGAATTGCTTGCTGGCCTATCATTGGCGCGCGTTTTCAATCAATCAGTGTCCTTTAGTACCCGCTACTATTACGATTGGTGCCGTCAACTTCGGAAATTCGCGCGCATCCGGTATGTGGATTCGGTAAAAGCATTCTCCCTCTCCTTGTTGTTGCTTAGCCCTCCCCCTTTTTGCTGGATGTCACTCAAACTTTTGCTTGCGAGACCTTCCCGCTTTCGTGGTTGTGTTACTTACTTGCATAAAACTTACGAGCATTCAATGGATGTCTTGTTTGTTTGGATAGGTTCCGCGTCGAAGAACAATATTTTCGAACACTCAAGTTGCAAAATCCATGCCACTGGAGTCTGGAGGGTCAATAATCCAAGGCCCCTATGGTGCTGGAAGGGAATTTGCTGCCACGAGGGGAACACCCCACAGTTGGTGGATAAAGCAGGATCCGTCCTTCACCTCCTTGGGTACGTAAATTCTTTCCAGCCACGCCATTATGGACGGTGGCGATGCCGTGGAATTCGGCGTTACGGCTGGGCCCGAGAGGCATTGGTTCTACAAACGGTTTTGTGGAGCTGGAATATGCCCGGGACTCTCGCCTTTGTGCCTGTTAAACGCACCAAGGGGCGCAACAACAGCAACAACGGGGACAAAAATGACACAGCAAACCGGAGCATAACTATCAAGAGGGATGGGGAATGTGGTTATGGGAGAATCACAGGGAGAAAAAGCTACAGGGAGCGTGAAAGGCAACGGAGGAAAAAACTTTCAGCCACAGGGAACAACACAACAGGGGGACTGCCACTTAAGTACATTTCTTAGAGGCTCCTGCATTGAAGAAAACAGCGTAGCAACAAGAGGAGTATATCTTGGCCCACTCACGCGTGCACTAGAATCTTGCGGGGCCGGGGGGAGTGACCCAATGGCCTCAGTCGTTGTGTGGTATAAGAAGGAACGAAGCCGAGACGGGCATCAGTGGCGGTAAGGTGGTGGAGGAGTTTTCACAAAAAACTTCCCCTCCATTTAGTTCCTGCGAGAATGGGAAGCCTCCCTCCCCTGGAGCAAGAGAAGCAAGCCGGCTTGAAGAGCTTGGAGTTTCTCAGCAGCAACGACAAGCAGAGTGCTTACTCCGCAGCAGAGTTGGAGGCCGGGCACTGCGCGGAGGGAGGCTGTCCATGCGACACCAAAGCTGCTGCTCACTCGGCTGGCCAGTCAAGTTTCTTCCAGGCCGTTGTCAATTCTTTCGTGCTGCTGATCGGTAAGAAGCTCTCGTTTCTCCATTCTCGTCTCTCCATTCTTCCTGCTGATTCCCTGTCATGTTTCAGTCACTTGATATGCATGCAGGGATTCTCTTCGAGTGTTTTTGATCTGTATGGAAGAGTTTGTCAGTGTTGAATTATGGAATGATTGCCTGCATGTCCGGTGTACATTTTCGAACCCGCATCTTTTCGTGATTTCTTTTTCTTTGTTCCTTTCATTAGTGCCGCACCAGGTGAGTCGGCAGATACTTCTAGAACTGTTCCCTGTTTCTGTTTTCTCAACTGATCTACTTTTACTAATCATTTGCGCTAACAGGCCTGGGAACTCTCTCCTCTGCCTATGCGATCGAGAAGGCCGGATTCTTTGGTTTGCTGGTGCTATGCATCACCGCATCGTTCTACTGGATCGGCTCCAAGCTGATAGTCATTTGCATGAAGCGGACAAGAGCCTCTGACTACCAAGATGTCGGGACCAAAGCCTTTCCTCGCTGGGGTCGGCTGCTCATAACAACGTGCTTCTACATCGACATCCTGGGATGCCTGGTCGGGTACCTCGTGTCCATGGGTGACACCATGATGCACATCTTTCCTCACCCTCAACTCGACATTCTGGGATTCAAGGGGAAGACGCTCTTCACTCTCCTCGCCTTCTTGGTCATCCTGCCGTCGGTGTGGTTCCGGAAGCTGAGCACCATCTCCTACCTCTCCTTCTGGTGCGGCATGAGCATCATCACGACAATCATCTGCCTGCTCGTCGCGGGGGTCAAGGATCACATTGGTTTCAGCCAGGACGTTGCCATCTTCCGCCCTGCCAACGTTCCAATCGCTACAGGGGTCTACACCTTCACTTTCGGAGCAACCGCCGTGTTTCCGAACGTTTACAGATCCATGAAGAACCCCAGCAGATTCACCGAGGTAACTTCAAGTTCGAAGCGTGCCTTTCTCTTTGTTCTAACGCTGCTCTGTTCGTCCAGGTGATGACACTGAGCTTCTCCATGGCAACACTGCTCAACATCATTGTTGGCATCGTCGGCTCGGTCATGTTTGGAGCAATGACTAAAGCCCAAGTCCATCTCAACATGCCACCGGCGCTCATCGCCTCCAAGGTTGCAATCTGGGCCACTCTCCTCACTCCGGTCACTCAGTTCGCGCTCTTCCTCTCGCCAATCTCTTGCGAGCTGGAGCAGATCATGATCAAGTATCTGCCGTGGAAGGCCGAGTCGCGGATGACCTCTGGAGCCTGCATCATGCTCCGGACAACGCTGCTCATCGCCATCGCCATGGGAGCTCTGCTCTTTCCGTACTTCGCCAACATCATCGAGCTCATAGGATCTTCGGTGAGCGTAACGCTCTGCGTTATCTTCCCCGGCGTCTTCTACTTGAAGCTTTTCTCCCACAAGATTCCCAAGTCGCGGTTTGCCGGCATTTGCGTGGTGATTGGCGTGAGCGCCTTGGCGGGGGTCGCGGGCACCATTGTTTCCATCCAGGACTTGATACACAAGTAAGAGAACTTTCTCTTGGTTTCTTTTATATCGGCCAGGAAGAACCAAGAGGAACCAAGAGGAGAGAAAGAAGAAAAGAACTAACTGGTATTCTCGTGTTAATAGATGATAAGAGCAGATTCAATACTGGATGTTCTTTGATTTTGTTTGGTATTAAAACCATTTAAATGATTAAACCAAGAGCCTATAGCTTTCGTAGTATAGTAGAGTCCTTGTAAGCCTGAAAGGTAAGAACCGCACAAAGCGTGAGCTCGTTGATTCCTCCGCTACGAAACAAGTTTTGGGATCCTGATCACGTAAGTTGGAAGTGACAGAAAGAAGCGCCGCTTTTCACGATTTCCTGCGCGTTGCCATCCCACGATCTTGGAAGCCTTTCCCATGGAAGAGGAGAAAGAGAATCTGTGCTTCTGCTGTTACCAGAATCCACCACACGAGCACTTCCCGTCTCTAAAAACGTGGAACCGGGCCGTGTCCCTGCAAACTATCTCCCGTTCTTCCATCCCGGACAAAACTTCCATCACCCTGTGACAATCGTCGCAAACTCGCAAATTCTTCGTGATCCGGATGGTCGATCCCGGAGCCGTGCTAATGAGAGCGCAGCCCATTGCCAGCCTCTCGCTGTGACCACGAAGAACTTCTTCCTTGGCATCGTCGCTAATGTTTCGTGCGACGCTGTCCAAGTCCGCGACGTAAAGTCCCTCCTGCTTCATCCTCCAAGTTACCATCTTTACCTTGGCTTCGATGGCTTTGATCAGAGCATGGGTACGATCTCCGGCGATAAACGAGTGAACTCTCGACGAGGAATCCGTCCACCAGCTTCGTCCTTCCTCGGCTTTCCTCCATGCACCGCTCTTAATCCTCAAAGCTTCGATCTTTGATTGCTCGCTCCACATCTTCAAGCTGCCGTAGAGACTTGCCATGAGCATGTATGGAGCCGAGTCTCTTGGATCGATCCGGAGCAACGCCTCGAAAGAAACCTTGGCTACTATCAAGTTCTTCCACTTGCGGCACGAACCGAGGAGCGTCATCCACGTCGACCAAGTTGCCTGGAATGGCATCGTCTCCACCACCTCCACCGCCTCCTCAAGCCTGTTCGATCGCCCAAGCATGTCGAGCAAACAGAGGTAGTGCTCGATGACCGGAACTATCCTGTGCCTCGACTCCATAGCCCGGAAGAACTCCCGGCCTTGGTCGACAAGACCGGCGTGGCTGCAAGCGGTGATGATGCACACGAGCGTCACCTCGTCCGGTCGCAATCCCTCCTCCACCATCTTCTCGTACAGCGAGAAAACTTTCGCGGTCTCGCCTCGCCGGCTACTCCCGGCTATGAGAGCAGTCCAGGCCACCGAGTCCCTCGCGTCCAAGACGTCGTAGAACACCCTCTCGGCGCTCTCAAGGCTCCCACACCTCCCGTAGAAATCCACCAGGCAAGTCCCGATAATTCCATCTCCATCAAAACCGAGCCGGCAAATCTGTCCGTGGAGAGCTCTCCCCGCCTCCAGCGCCACTAGAGCTCCACACGCCTTGAGCGCCGCCACAAAGGTGGCCTCGTCCGGCTCGAAGAGCCTCCCAATCTCCAGGAGCTCCAGGCAAAGATCGGCCTCTCCGAGCTCCGCCAGTCCCAGCAGCAGCGAGTTCCACACCACCACACTGTGCTCTTCGATCCGGTCGAAAGCCCGCCTCGCGTCCGCCAAGCTCCCACACTTCACGTACATATCCACAGCACACCCGGCCACAAACACGTCCCCGCCATAGCCACGCTCGCAAGCCTGCGCGTGGATCTCCATCCCTCTCTCCAGAGCCGCGGCTTTCACCACCTTTCCACTGATCTCCCGGCCCTTCTCTCGCATGCCACAGCTCGAGCAGGCCTTGAGCGCCGCTACGAAGCACCGCGAGTCGGGCTCACACCCCTGCCTCCGCTGGATCCCCGCGAAGATCTCCAGCGCGAGCTCCCCCTGCCCCTGCCGGGCATAGCCGAGCAGCAGCGACGTCCACGCCACTGCGTTGTGGCAAACCATCCGGTCGAAGACGCGGTGAGCGTCGGCCAGGCTGCCACACCGCGCGTACATGTCCACCAGCGCGCTGGAGACGAAGAGATTCGCGCTGCTGCCGCCGTCGATCGCCTCCGCGTGGAGCCTCCTCCCGCGCTCCAGCTCCGCGGGGCTGCGACACGATCTCAGCGCCGCTAGCAGCAGCGAAACACTCCGGGACCTCACCTTGCTGGGCCGGAGCTCCATCGCAATCCCAGTCCCCGCCCGGCATTCCTTCCCTCGCGGAAGCGCCGATCGATGGAAGAAAATGCGATGAACTTGGCTGCCCTAAATTCTGGACGAATATTCCAAGCTTCTAAACCTTATTCAAGCAAAACGGTCCTTTGAATCCAAGGGCCCGAGTTCGAATCTCGGTGGGACCTAGTAGCTCCCCCTAGATGCTATAAGCATATTCTTTTGCTCCCTGTCTGCCCTAAACCAGCCACATTCCTGGCGAATATTCTAAACTTTTTAGTTAGTGGAAGGGGCGGAGTTCGAATCTCGGTGGGACCTTAGGGCTAGCTGCCCTAGATTCTTGTCGAATATTCTATTACTGCGAATCTCTTGGCGCGGGAAAAGCCGTTTTACTATTTCCTGCTTGTGCTGGATTGCACTCCCCTCCACCAATCCGTTGTCTCATTCATTACGTCGGGCCCCCTTTTTTGTTTGCAAGCATGATATGGGCGGGCAGAAATCAGCCTGTCTCCTACTCACTGTAGCTTTTCCTTGCCCTAAATTTTACACCGCCATGGCGCCACGGCCAGAGTACGTACGCGTACTGGGCGCCACCAGGCATGTAACAATACAAAGAACACCCTGGACTTAGAAACGTTTCAAAGCCGGATCCTCCCCGGTACGCTGGGCGGAGTACGTACGGAACGGACCACGATTTTTCACCCCATTGTTTTTTATTCCCTTTCCATCATCGGGGTGGCACCAAGTACACAGCCAATGCACCCTAGCAATCTAGCGAGATAGAAGAAACAAAACCAGACATAATATCTGAATTTCTATATGGTCTTGTATGGTCTTTTATAACCCTAGCTACACAACAGGCTGGCGGCTGGCAGTAACAAATGGCCGCCCATCCACGTCATAGAGCCGTATCCTGGCCACTGGCCATGGCCATGGAGCCGTATGACCACGCCGGAGAAAAGCTGCCCCAACGGGTCGAAGCGGCGCCACCGGCGGCGCAACCAGCGGCGCCGCCGGCTCCCATTGTATAAATTTCCGACCCTCTTCCATCCGCCATAGCTGGCGAGCTTTCTCGGGGAGGAGGCGGCGGCGTCTTCGGGGAAAGGAGAGGAGAATAAGCCAATCCCGCATACTTTTCTCCTCGCATTGCTGCGACATTTTAGTCTAACGCGTTGATCGAGCGATTCACAGCCAAAGTCCAGACCATTTCTCCAAACAACGCAGCCTAGCGTCCACCCAAGAGCGTAAACCACCAAGAAAGGCGAGGCAAAGATTAAAAACCCTGGATTGTCACTGTTTGGTTGTTGGGGCGAGAGGTATTTAGATTGGGGGACCCTCGGCATTCCACCATCTTCTCCAATCCCTCTCCTCCTCCTCTTCTCCGCCGCTCTTCCATTCTCTTCGATCGATCACTCTGCCTCTCTCGATCTATCGCTCTCTCCTCGCGTTCTTCCCAAGATCTTGGAATCGCGATCACAAAATCTCCTCTTCTCTCGCAAAATCTCTCTCCCCTCCGCAAAATCGTTCCTCTTTCTCCCCTCCTCTCGCGATTCCACTCCCCTTTGCTTGCATTGCAATTCAAGGATTACGAAGATCCCCCTTGCAAGCGATCGATTATCGCGGAGTATTGGTTTTCTCTTCCGTGATTTCTCGCTCCTAGAGCTCCTTCCCCGTCAAGACTAAGAAAGGCGGCATCAAAAACAAGGGAGAGATCGATCACGCATGGCATTCATCGCGGCGGTGGAGATCAGGCTCAGGAAGATCGGGCTCCAAGCGGCGGCCAGAGGCGGAGGAATGCTTCGGTCGTCATGGCCATTGCTGCTCCTCGCCGCAATGGCCGCTCTCCTCGTCTCCCTCGGATCCTTCGACCACCTCTCGCTCATGGCGCAGCGGCTGTCGCTGGACAGGCTTCCCCATCTCAGGGATTCCATCTTCGGCACGCAGCCCTTCCTCTTCCTCGTCCTCAATTCCGTGATCTTCGCCGTGCTCGCTCCCTCGGGCCTCTTCAAAGATGGTTGCTCCTCCACTCCAGATGATCTCCCTTCGTCTACCCCGTGCTCTTCTCGCACTTCTTCTCTCTCTCGCACTGATTCGATCGATGGGTCGTCGCACAGCACCACCACCGCAAAGTCTCTCGAAGAACAGTCATCCAAGAGCGACACTCCGGCTCCAGAGCCAGATCCAGCGCCGGCTCCACAACCGGAGGATCCAATCGCCCCGAGCTCCACAGCAGATCTCTCGGGTCCGGCTCCAAGCCCCAGCACGGATTCTTCGCTCCCGGCCAAGGAGGTCCTCAAGAAATCGCCGAGGCCGAGCAATGTGAGCCCGCCCAAGTCGCGAGTGAAGCGCGTCAAGAAGATGCAAAAATCCGCGGCAGCTCCGAGCAAGCAAATGGTGGCGCCGGGCATTGTCGAGGAGCATCCCAAAGATCCCGTGGGGGATCCCACGGATTCGCTCGAGGACGAGGATTTCAAGCGCTTCATCGATAGCTTCATCGCCCACACGCGACACCAGATGCTGCTCCAGGAGAGAGAGTACGTCTGAAGCAATCCAGCGCAGCGGTGCCGCACGATCTAGGGCTTGGGAGAGATCGGACGCCTCACACACGCCCATGTTTTCTCCTTTTTTTTGCCACAGCTCTGTACAAAAGTGTTGATGGTGGGAGGGTAGGAACTCAGCACAGTTTCTTGCTAGTTTTTTGAAAGCAAGAAAACTGCTATGCATATATTTTTTAAGCATAGATTTAGGAAGGCATAGCCAGCTTGTTGCAAAATAAAACATTTCTGGAAATAAAGAAAAGCAAAAAAAATTAGTTAGGAAAACTTCTGCTCCTGTTCCTGTTTGCTGATGAAAGATCTACACTAGATTAGCCATGGATTAACAAAGATTATGGGAATGTTCCAATTACACTTAAGAATTGAGGATTTTTCTTTGGAGGGTGATGGGCTGCTCGATCTCACCGACCATATTCGCTTGTTTGTTCCACGCCGTACGCTGCGTACGGAGGTGACAACGACGACCGAGCAGGGTGTTTGGCTGTCTGATCGATTGATTCAAAGGCAGCAAAAGTTTAAGTTTACCGAGATCTTGTCATGTACCTTGAACGGGATATTTCAAACATTCTCAGACGATTTCGTTTCGCTAAGCTAGCTTGAGGAACTTGTGTTTGGCCGCTTGCCATTGTCACCTTGCAATCGTATCGTGATCGACTGTAGCATATAGGCCGCGGTAGCCGAGGGGAGGTACAGAAACACGGGGGAATCCGATCGAATCCAACTGTGCTTGTCTCTCTTTTTCTTTTCCTCTTGAGAGGCCGCCAAAAGAGCAAGCAACGAGGAAAAGAGAAAAAAGAGATGATGCAGTGTTCGACCCCTGGCTCGATTCTTTGGTTTTGCTCGCTTGCTTGCTGATAGAAAAGAAGTGAACGTTGACATGTACAGAGGTCTGCTTGTCCTTGGGGAAGATAAAGAAGGAAGAAACTTTCTCCTTTTTCACTAATGGTCGAGGTGTGGTCCACACTGTCAGCCTGTGTTCCAATCTACTATAGAAATATCGACAAAGTAGAGTAGCAAGAGAGGGAGCCACACTCCTCTCGTGCAATGATTTTCGATCGCTAGCAGCTTTGTTCTCGAGCCAAAAGTCCGTCAATTCACTGAGAATTGTTAATGGCATCAGTGAAAAGCTATCTAGTTTCCAGTAGCTCGTCGCTCGCGCGAGAGTGCTATAACCATAAAATTACAAAATCCACAAGCTACCACATCATGAAACGATGAAAGCGAACCCTTCACCGTTTGGCGATCGTTTCACCACCTGATACGTCTATGGTTCGATTAAGCACACAGGAACTGCGTCTCGTTTTGCTCAATGAATCTGCCATGGCTTCTTGAGTCAAGCAAACAAAACGAAACAGAAGAAGATTGCAATGGTCCACTTACAGCATTATCTCCATCACTTTGTCTTCGAGCTCGGACACCTCTTTCTCTTTGAGCTGATCATACACGAGAAGCTCCGGGAGTTTGGCTGTTATCTAGGTGATTTGTTAAGAGGGCTTAAAGGTGGAAAGCTCATCACTTACGGAAGAGACGAAGCAAATGCTCGGCTCCATAGATCGTGGACGGTACAACGTCGCTGTTGAGCGAAAGCAAGGTTGCATATTGCTTCCGTTCTGCCGGGTACAAGAGCAAGTTCTTGAGAGTTCTGTCGAAGTAATACCGCAGGCCGTTTGAAACCTCGACGTCAATCCTGGAAGGCAAAAGTTTGCACAATGAAACTTGACGGCATTATATATACACCTCTCAGCTTTTCCTCTCTTGAGCATCCTGTGGTCTTGATACAATTTCAGAATGTCCTCCACGCTGGGTTTCTTGGGAAGTCTTGTGAGTTGGAGGTTCTCGATGCGATCCTTGTGATCCTGCAGATGTCGCCGCAAAGTTCTCGGCAGAACAATCTAGCATCAGAAAAGAAAAGAGACAAAGCAATAGTAAAGTAGCATTGAAAGAAACTACGGTACCTGAATTGGAAGAAGCTTCGCGTCCTGTTTTCCTAAATCGCTAGGGCTCTCGATTATAAACTCCTGTTTAGGAGTTTTTATCATCTTTCCCCTCTCAGCAGTGGCTCCCACAGAAGGCCGACTCTTGCAACGCTTGGACTGCTCGACTTTGGAGACTTTGGACAGCGAGTCCGAAGGATTTGCCTCCTGCCGGTTCAATGCATCGCTGAAACCAAGCTCCTGCTTTACCTTTGGGGCGATCTTAAGCTGGCCCCTGGCCTTCTCGTCGAAAATGCGATTGCTGCGAACCCACTCGTCAAATCTGCAAAACCAAGAATCGAGGCCAAGAAAATTGTTGCCTAGATTAATATCAAAGGGTTACACTACTTTTTGCTCCATCCCTGCAAAAATACAGGACAATAAAATCCACTGACACATTTCTTGGTAGTCTCAAACAAACCGTGTAATGCACTAAATACCGCCAAGCATTCGCTCGAAACTTGATGTTGGTGACCTGCATTTGCCATGGGATCGCTAAGATCGCTAAAACCTAGCTTCGAAACCTTTGAAATCACCTTGGCATTGTAGTAGAGCCCCCCATAAGAAACAAGCACATCGTCGCCATGCTTGAGCGCCGGAGGGTCCATGGACTCGAAATGGCGGGTACACTGACGTGGCAATGATGGCGTACAGCTTCGTTTTGAAATTCATCTCTATGTACGCACGTACGTATTACGTCTCCATACACTCGAGGGAGTAGCCAGCTACGTGCGAGCAGACGGAGCCAGCCGGCGTGCCGGTGTTGGCCAGCGTCAGGTCCACGTCACGGAAGTGGATGTCCGTACATGTGGTCGCGCACTGTAGGCTGATTCCGTACGGCGAGACCGAGGTGCCCCGGATGTTTGAGAATGTGATGTTGCTGATCTCCAGAGAGGTTCCCTAGGTTTATCAGTTGAGTGGCAGTAAGTTTTCGGGTGAAACTTACCTGGTTCTGGCAATTGTGGCCAAGTTTTGATCAACTATGATTGGGTTCTTCACGTTGTTCATCACAATATCGTCGAAAGCTTCCTCACATAACCAGAGCCACCCTGCTTGCTCACAGTTTAGCAACAAAAGCAAGGAATATCACAGTGCCGCACCTGCCAGGTTTTGATCCGTACGCCATTCGTGGCTCCGTCGATTTTGATTCCTTGGACCAAACATTGGTCACCGTGTCGAAAGACCCGCCTTTCCAAGGCTGCCGATGCTGATTCCATGCCCAGGCCCGCATCTACTGTTGGTCACCTTGACGTTGTCGCTCCCACTCACAATCGACACACAGTCGTCACCTTTTCAAGTAGAGCTTTCAGTAGATCAATTGAAGGGTCTTACTCACCAGCCGAGACGTCTGCCTTGTCAATGACAATGTTGGTGGTTCCAGAGACGTGGATTCCATCGGTGTTGGGGCTGTCCCCGGGGGAATCAATCACGACATTCACAGCCTCAACAACATCCGACTTAGAGAATGTGAGGTGGATTTGAGGGGGTGTTCCGAACGGTGGTGCCATCGACCTTGATGTTCTTGCCACCGCTAAACCTGATACCCTGCGCCGCAAACACAGTGGAAACTTATCGATAATCAGAGCTTGGCTTACCGTTGGAGCATCACCGTCACTGCAACCCTGGGAAAGAAAAGATTCAGTCATCGTTGCATACAATGGAGAGAGTACCTGTGTTTTGTTGCGTTTGCAAGACTGCGCCCACCAATCAGCGCCATTCCCGTCGTACGTGCCGCCAATCAACGTGAAGTCCGTCACCCCCACGAATTCGAGTCAAACTTTTGCAGCTGACTCGGCTAGCCACGCACTTCTAGGGCTGGCATGGAGGGTGGCGTTTACCTGGCCAACCAAACTTTAGAATTCGCTTCAACCATTGACCAGCGTTTGTGACATTAGAGCACTTCTCAAATACAATGGGCGTGAGGTAATATCTGCCTGTCATGTAAGGAATGGCGATGGTGGCCTCGTTGCCTTGAGTGCATGCAGTTATACATTAAGAAGAAAAGAGAAAAAATAAACAAAAATGATAAACAAAGCACACCAACCTGAGAATTATCATGGACTCCATTCCCCAAAGCTCCAAACTCAAGCACATTGAAGTTTGAAGATGATGGAGTGGGAGACTTCTTTGGGAATGGGGGAGAATCCTTTGGCAAATGAGGAGGGGGGAATTCTTTGGCAAATGTTTGGGACGAGGAGATTGATTTGGTGACGGGGTAGCATCTATCCTTGAGAATGTATCTAAAACAACAGCAATCAACAAAAGTATTAGAGTTCTTTTACTTGCCATTGCCCCCAACAGAATAGACCAGAAGTTGCAAGTATATATCTTAATCTCCCTGTGTTTTAACTACTGTATTATGCGTAGTTTTACTTTTATGAATGATTTCTCCATCAATTTTTTTTTAAACGGAAAAAGAGGGAACACAGACCAAAAATTTGTCTAACCTCTTCTTTGAAAGTGCAAGCTAGTATGTAAAGTAAGGCTACCTGCATGGTCATTGAACTCGAACCAAGTCGGCCGATCGGAAACGCCGGACGTTTGACATAACGTCGGATGGGAGCACTCGACCTCGCTCCACAAGAAGGCACACTTGAAGAACGGGAAAAAACGGGAGACGTGTCGGTGATCTAATCCCAGCCTGCGAAGTCTGTCGTTAGCAACATCTTGGACAAACCCCGCAACAGCAAGAACAACACTGGAAAGTCGTCGCTAGCATATCACCTAAATGATTCAAGATCTGAAACATTGCACTCGCAGCAGATTAACCAACATAAAACATTCTGTTGGCCATAGATACAACAAAATCTAAAATCTAAAAGATAATGTATGCTGTTTCTGTGTGGAGCATTCCATTTCTCCAGCATGTCTGCTACACTTTCATGGCCCGGCGCGAGGATGCGACTCAGGAAACCCCTTCATCTCGTCCGTCCGGATTATGGAATTTTGCTGCCACTCCGGAGACCAAAACACTCCCGCAAAACTTTGCTAACAAAAACGTGACACTCTCAAAAGCTTTCTTCGCAGCTTACAAAAATTCAATCCTCGTGATTTTCAAGGAAAAAACTTTTTTTTACCATATGCCCATCAAGAAATAATATCCCTCGGGGAAAGAAGTGCTCTGCCTCGTGAAAATGGCTGTGGTTGAAAATCGGAATCAAAACATGATCAAGATGCCCGTTAGTAATGGCTAAAGACAAGGATCCAAAACCCTAATAACTGGTCCACGAAAGCGAGGATGACCTCCAACATTCTTGTTTTAGGGTTCATGCGCTAGGGTTCTGGATCACGATGAGAGGCGATGCGAGTTCTCCTCGCCTCCAGCAGCAGCCGCGGCTTGAAGCGGTGCCTCCACACCGCCAGCTTAGATCGTTCCGACATCGCCTCCGCCGTGCTGGATCTCGAGAAACAGGCGGTGCGGGCAGAGAATGCGACCTACGCACGGCTCCTCCAGCGCTGCGCACGGGCCCAAGCGCTACCCGAGGGCAGAAAGATCCATTCCCTGGCTGTCAAGCACAATCTCTTGCCCGGAAATCTCATCCTGGGCAACCACATTGTGAGTATGTATGCTCATTGCGACAGCCCCGGGGATGCCAAGGCCGCTTTCGACGCCTTGGAGCAGCGCAATCTCTACTCGTGGACAGGGCTGGTCGCGGCCTTCGCGATCTCCGGCCAGAGCAAGGAGACGCTGCGAGCTCTGGAGAGGATGCGGCAGGATGGTGTTCGTCCTGATGCTGTGACTTTCATCACTGCCTTGGGCTCTTGCGGCGATCCAGAGAGTCTGCGGGATGGGATCCGGATCCACCAGATGGTGGTGGACAGCCGCCTGGAGATCGATCCCAAGGTGAGCAATGCGCTGCTCAACATGTATAAGAAGTGTGGAAGTCTCTCCCACGCCAAGAGGGTCTTTGCAAAGATGGAGAGAACGAGGAACGTGATAAGCTGGAGTATCATGGCCGGGGCTCACGCTCTCCACGGAAACGTCTGGGAGGCTCTTCGCCACTTTCGATTCATGCTGCTGCTGGGTATCAAGGCCACCAAGTCGGCCATGGTGACGATCCTCAGCGCTTGCTCCAGTCCGGCTCTCGTCCAAGATGGTCGGATGATCCACTCGTGCATCGCTCTCTCCGGTTTTGAGTCGGAGCTCCTCGTTGCCAACGCGGTGATGACCATGTATGGACGCTGTGGAGCTGTGGAGGAGGCGAGGAAGGTTTTTGACGCCATGGACGAAGCTCTCCGGGACGTGGTCTCGTGGAATATCATGCTCTCGACCTATGTACACAATGATCGAGGCAAGGATGCAATTCAGCTGTACCAGAGGATGCAATTGAGACCTGACAAGGTGACCTACGTTTCGTTGCTCAGCGCGTGCTCTAGCGCTGAGGATGTTGGACTGGGACGGGTTCTCCACAAGCAGATCGTCAACGATGAGCTCGAGAAGAATGTGATCGTCGGGAACGCGCTCGTTTCGATGTACGCGAAGTGTGGAAGTCACACGGAAGCTCGAGCTGTTTTTGACAAGATGGAGCAGCGGAGCATTATCTCTTGGACAACGATCATCTCGGCTTACGTGAGGCGGAGGCTGGTTGCGGAGGCTTGCCACCTTTTCCAGCAGATGCTGGAACTGGAAAAGAACGGGTCCTCTCAGCGAGTAAAGCCCGACGCTCTGGCATTTGTCACGATTCTTAACGCTTGCGCCGACGTCTCGGCACTGGAGCAAGGGAAGATGGTGTCCGAGCAAGCCGCTAGCTGTGGATTAAGCTCGGACAAGGCCGTCGGGACTGCAGTGGTGAATCTGTATGGGAAGTGTGGAGAGATCGAGGAGGCTCGCAGGATTTTCGACGCGGTTTGTAGCAGGCCAGACGTCCAGCTCTGGAACGCGATGATCGCGGTGTACGCTCAGTTTGGACAGAGTCACGAGGCGCTTAAGCTGTTTTGGAGGATGGAGATGGAGGGCGTGAGACCGGATAGCTTCAGCTTCGTGAGCATTCTCCTGGCGTGCAGCCACACGGGGCTGGAAGATCAAGGAAAGAGCTACTTCACTTCCATGACGACCGAGTACAGGAACGTGACGCGAACGATCCAGCACTTTGGCTGCGTGGCTGATCTTCTCGGTCGCGGTGGCAGGCTGAAAGAGGCCGAGGAGTTTCTGGAAAAGCTTCCGGTGAAGCCCGATGCTGTGGCCTGGACGTCACTGCTGGCCGCTTGTCGGAACCACAGGGACTTGAAACGAGCGAAGGAGGTGGCCAACAAGCTGTTGAGGCTGGAACCGAGGTGTGCCACGGGATACGTAGCGCTGTCCAACATCTATGCCGAGCTCCAGAAGTGGCACGCCGTGGCTAAAGTCCGGAAGTTCATGGCCGAGCAAGGCGTGAAGAAAGAGCGTGGCGTGAGCACCATCGAAATTGGCAAGTATATGCATGACTTTGCCACCGGCGACGACGCTCATCCTCGGAACCGTGAGATACGTGAGGAGCTTGCGAAGCTCCACTCGCAGATGAAGGAATGTGGCTATGTCCCGGATACCAAGATGGTGCTCCACTTTGTGGACGAGCAGGAAAAGGAGAGGCTGCTCTTCTCGCACAGTGAGAGGCTGGCAATAGCTCTGGGTCTCATCTCGACTCCTCTCGGAACTCCTCTGCGAGTGACGAAGAATCTCCGGGTGTGTAGTGACTGTCACACCGCAACCAAGCTGATCTCCAAGATCGCTGGAAGAAAGATTGTGGTCCGAGATCCAACTCGGTTCCATCTTTTCAAGGATGGCAAGTGTTCCTGCCAGGATTATTGGTGACAGGTTCGACACATTCAATATATCTTATAATTTTTGTTTAATAACAGGGAGTTCATTGCAGGCTCGAAGCAATCACCCTCGTGATCCAGAGCTCCGGCTTCCCTCTTGCCACTTCGAGGCATCGTCGTAGCGCATGAGTTCCATCGTTTCTCGTGGAAACCAGATCTCCAGCCGGCAAAACCGTCCTGCTGTATAATCCTGTAAGCAACACCTTATTGGAAAGTGGATCTTCTCCGTTCTCTCGGGAGTGATCGGTAAGAGGCCGGTGCCAGTCCATCCGACTCCATTAGTATTATTTCAAAAGCAACAGCAAAAACCGCTATGCCATTTCGCAACTTGATCTGATCAAACGTTCATTCACCGGAAAGAAAGGCTCTCGCTCCGCGTTCTTCGTCTACTTTTTTTAAAATTTCGAAAACCGTAACTAACCCGGTTAAACTCTGCCGCGTGGCGTTTTGGACGGTATAGATTAAGGGCCAAAGACTCAAATCGATAGTATGGGAGCGCGCAAGTTGGCAAGGCAAGTAACAAAAGAGAGCGCGAGGAGGAACACAAAGTTGGCCAACCCCTCAAGAGGGTAAAGAGTCAACCTGCAAAGATCAAGGCAAGTCTAGGAGGGAGCTATCAAAAAACCCTGAAAGGATCACTGCAAAGATCAAATCGTGAGGATCAAGCTCCACAAAGAAAATATGTATCTACTTTCAAGCACCATAGTATTACTCTAAACAAGAGTCCCCCATTCCCTATCTCTATGGGTGTGCTGCTCGTTCCATGGCTCCACAACCCCAGGTGCTCCTCCATTCGCTCATGAATTGTAATAAGTTACATAATTTGTTGTGTGATGTAGCATTGTTTAGATTTTATATTTCTACACAATAAAATCTTTTTATGTCTCTAATATACCTTTTATTTTAATACAAGAAACAGCTTGAAAAGGATAAGCTTCTACCCATATTCTTCTCTTATAAAAATCTTAAGACTTCTTGTTTGTGTATACCACCTGTAGCAAAGATGAAGTTGGAGTCAGTGACATTGGTATTTAGTTCTGCTTCCTAAAATAACAAATTTGAAAATGTGAGGCTTTTGAAATGGATCTGAAGTTAATTTTCACTGATGAACACTGTATAAAAGATGCCAGTTAGCTTCTCACCAAATATTGGAGTTGCTCTAGTTGGATTTCTGATTTGTTCATCATCTTTGACAACAATATCCAATACACTTTATTCCCACACTTCTCAAAATACTGAATACAAAATGGTTGAGATTGTCCTGCTCTTAAAATTTGTAGTCAAGGTTTAACTTTACTTATTACTAATACAGGTTTTCTTGGATTGAAAAATATACCGGAAGGATATTTAAGATATTGTTAAACTGTATTCTTATAAGATAATCATTCTATGTTGCTTATACAATCTTAAACCATTTACTTTTACTGTTTACTCTGGTTGATCATGATTTGCCATAAGAAAATATCAAATATATTATTATGGTGTTAGAGGGAAATAAAACAATTTTATGGATATGTAAATCAAAGCTAGTCCATAACCTCCGAAACATCACTATAAGAAAGCAGCCAAGATGCATTAGCAACATCGTAATCTAGAGGCAATAAATCTTTGTTCTTTCAGGGCTCACTTGTTTTTTACCCTAGTAGTTTTGGGATATGATCTAGTTGCAAAGAGGAAATTCCATCGACTTGCAAATAAGGTACGAGAGACATCTATACTTTGCCACTGCCACCAACTGAAAATGCATCTCCTTGTCACTACTTTGATGAGTGACTTTTGGTGCCTAGAATATAGTCATGCTCATCGTTAATGCAGCCCAAGACTAAATCTGAAGGGACCTTCCCCACTATGAAAAGTTGGTAAAAACATTCAAATGTTTATAAACACTGTAATTATTGATTTAAACATTAGAAAATTGAATTTTGAAGAGGAACAACATGTAGATTCAGCAAGAAGAAGAAGAATGAATTGCAAAGATTATTCTGGCCACTTAGAGCTCAAGAGATGGAAAAGAACTCGATAGGGAATTCCTCATTGCAGCAGCATGTTTCCCATGCCTTGACACTCTTGGGACATTCTTGCCTAACTTTAGCCCCAAGTTTAGTAAGAGGAGCTAGATTTTTATGCAGCAAGAATTACCAAGGTCAGTGATAAAGTAGTGATCAATGGTCACATATTATGATATGAAAAGGTTGAAAGGTAAGAAAGTTTATCAAAGTACACTTGAAACTTATAAGAATACCATAGTGAAGATGGTCAAGTACACAAAGTTTCCAGATAGCAATGGAATGATGATAAATGGTCAAGAGACTGAAAAGTGCAAAGTGAGAGGATAGGATTACTAGTTTACTAGAGATGATTTTTCATTTAATTTTCTTACACACCAAAGTGTTCTTTTTCCTCAAGATGTCCTTCAAAGATGAACTGTTATTAATATTATTGATTTGTTATAATTAATAAGTTTTTCTTTTTGGAATCAGCAAACCATGATTGCTGTTGCACAGAAATATAATTAGTAGAATAAATTATTGAATTTTTTGTTGGTCATAAAACACCAAGAAGTCTTGGTGTATAACCAGTACCAATGAAAACAAAAGAAAAATGAAAAAAAGTCCAAAATGCAAGCATATTCTTCTTTTAAATCAAGCATCTATGCCATGCAACGGCTGGAGCACCGGTGCACGATCCGGTGCATGTGCCGGTAATTGGGCGATAGCTGGAAGCTAAATCTCTGTAAGATCATGGCCACGGCGATCTTGGCTTCGGTGTGGGCGAAGGATTGGCCCGCTCTGGCCTTGGGAGAATGGGAGAAATGCGAAGAGGTGCTGTGTCTTGGAAGTGCGTCCGCAATGCGCTCGGGTCTAAACTCGTTGGCGTCGTTGCCCCAGAGATCCGTGTCGTGGAGGAGGCAGAGGATGGGGACGATCACTCCGCTCCGTTCCGGGAATGACAAATGCCCAAGCTTGGCATCTTTGAATTAGCTCCGGACGATGACAACGGCAGGAGAATACAATTGCAAGCTCTTGTTGAGCACCATCCCGACCTGGAATTTGCCATAGGTATAGAGTTTAGAGGAGAAGTCCAATGAAGAATGAAGAACTTACGATTTTTAGCTTGCTTAAGCCCTTGGCATCTGGTGCTTTGGACTGGCAGACTTGGCGTACTTCATCTCGGGCTCGTTCCTGCCAGGATGGGTTTATGGTGAGGGGCATCATTGTCCATGCCAGCCACTTAGCTGAGGTATTGTGTCCCGCAATGTAGAACGTCTTGCATTCCTCCATCATCAATGGGGCGGTGAGGTGTCACTTCCAAGGCAAAGAAGAAGTGTTTGAGTTTGTTTCTTCAGCTTATGGGAAGATTCTTTTTGTAAGAAAAGATTCAAATTGTTTAATGTATGGCATTGAACCATCTTCAACAACCCTAAACAATTCAAATAAGGGGAGAAATGCACAATCTAATACCCCTTTTTCTTACATGTTACCCCTTGCCATGCTCACTCCTCCCTCCCTCCGTGGCATGCTTAGTCACACCTAGCTCTGCACCTTAAATATTTAACAACTAATTCTAAATTAGTGATGTTAAAATTTAATTAGTAGATGTTGTTAACAGATATGCTAACGACTATATTTGTATAATTAGCCAGTGAATGAACGGTTATAATTTATACATATATAGCCTACTATTTGTGCTCCTTATATTTTATTTCTTATTTTATTCATTATCTTTAGTATTATGGCTAGATTGGAATATATAGATTATGCTAAGATAGTATTCTTTCTTTTTCTGATCTTATTGAGAGAATTAATAGTAAAGTAAATTATTTTTACTTTTTGTATTTCTTCAAGAAGAGAGAGAATATAAAAGATATCATCAACCAATGACATCTTTTATTGGTCTTCTTCTTCATTTTAATGCACCAATAATATTCTAAGCATTTGAGCAAATGAGAGATTACTATTTGCAAACTAAGTATTAGTTCTAAGAGGTCTTGTGGTATTGCAATTTTTATGATTCTACTTTAAACCATCTTTACAACCTTGATTATCAAATGATATGTCATTGATCAATGACATCTTTCACATTCTCTCTCTTCTGGAAGAAGACCAATTAGAATATAAAAATTAAAAGAATTTATTTTACTATTAGTTCTCTCAATAAGATCAGAAAAAGAAAGAATACTATCTTGAGCATAATCTACATATTCCAATCTAGCCATAATACCAAAGAGAATGAATAAAATAAGAAATAAAATATAAGGAGCACAAACATAAAATACAATGAGGACAAACTTAAACCAAGCTAGGTTATATATGTATAAATTATAGCCGTTCATTCACTGGCTAATTATAAAATTATAGTCGTTAACATATCCATTAACAAAATCTGCTAATTAAAATTTACAGTTACTAATTTAGAGTTAGTCGTTAAACATTTAAGGATGGCAAAAAGGTAGCCACTTAAAAGAGGGGGTGTGCAAATAAGACTCACAGCCTAATTCCTCACCCATCTATTTGTCTGTTAACACTTCCTGGCCTTCACCTGAAAGGGCGCCAGAGACAAAAAATGTATTTTTGATATATATAACACAACAGAAGAAATTAAGTTATAACCCTCTAGTAACTTAACTTACAGAATCTAAAAGGTAGCAACCAACATTTCCCTTCACAATATTGACTTACTATGTCCTTTGAAAAATACGGTTAAACTCTGACACATATTTTTTCTCGGTTTAGGTCAATCATCTAGTCTTTGGAGAAGCAAGGGCATGCCGTGCAGCGGCTGGAGCGCGATCCGGTGTACGGGGCTGTGCCGGTAATTGGGCGATAGCTGGAAGCTAAATCTCTGTAAGATCATGGCGACGGCGATCTTGGCTTCGGTGTGGGCGAAGGATTGGCCCAGGCACACGCGCTGGCCTTGGGAGAATGGGAGAAATGCGAAGAGGTGCTGTGTCTTGGAGGCGCTGGAGATGCCGTCCGCAAAGCGCTCGGGTCTAAACTCGTTGGCGTCGTCGCCCCAGATGTCCTTGTCGTGGAGGAGGTAGAGAATGGGGATGATCACTCCGCTCCCTTCCGGGAATGACAAATGCCCAAGCTTGGCATCTTTGAAGCAGCTCCGGACGATGGCAACGGCAGGAGAATACAATCGCAAGCTCTCGTTGAGCACCATCCCGACCTGGATTCGCCATAGCTATAGAGTTTAGAGGAGAAGTCCAAGAAAGAACAAAGAACTTACGATCTTTAGCTTGCTTAAGCTCTCGGCATCTGGTGCTTGGGACTGGCAGACTTGGCGGACTTCTTCTCGGGCTCGCTCCTGCCAGGATGGATTTATGGCGAGGAGCATCATCGTCCATGCCAGCCACTTAGCCGAGGTCTCCTGTCCCGCGATGTAGAACGTCTTGCATTCCTCCATCAAGCCGTCAATGGTGAAGGAGAGCCCGGTCTTTGCATCATAGTGCTCCGCGTCGACTTCCTTGAGCATCACTCCGAGGAGATCACTTCCATAGCCCTCGATCTCTCCCGCCGCCGTTTGATCCTTCCGGACTTGGACAATCTCTTCCAGTGTCGAGCGCACCTCGGCATTGACGGCTTTGATATCGCGGTTGATCTTGGAGAATGGAAGCTTGCTGTGATGGAGTTTGTAAGAGACAAGTTCAAGTGCGAAGTCTATACCTCTGTATCCATAGCGATGAAAATTTGCGGTAGACGAGCTCGCCCACTTGATCCAGCAGCTCGAAAACTCTGTGGCCCTGCTTGTAGCTGCTGCCAAATGCCGCTCGAGAGATAATGTCCGACGTTAGTGTAATGAGCTCCTTGCAAACTTCCAGTTCGATGGGCTCTTCTTTGCCTTCTGTGAGAGCATTCCATTTCGCCAGCATGTCTGCTACGCAATCTCGCATGCCGCCGACCATGAGCTACAAGATTTTATGTCAAGAGAAGAACTTTGGAGTGATTTTCGCTCGCTTGCCTTGATCTTGTCGGCGTGAAAGGCCGGTGCGAGGATGCGACGCCTCAACGCCCACTCGTCTCCATTCACGACGGCCATGCCTCGGCCCAGGAGATCGATCTGGAGCTGACGCTGCCAGTTGGAGTTCCAAAACGCTCCAGCCTTGTTGTAGAGCACCTCTTTGATCATGTCGAGGTCCGTAAGAACAACGCCAGGCTCGCTTCCCCACCACCACCGCAATGGTTGTCCTGGAAGAGAAGAAAATGTAAGTGAAATCTCTACAAGAACAAGAACTGGCGATGGGTACCATAGAGTTTAGCCCACTGGAGGTGGTGTGGCTGGACATACTCCATGATATCGTGGGTGATCGGCCCTTCGATGCATTTGGCCTCGACGCGAGTCCGGATGTCAAATATGTGCTTGACATTTCCAGAGAGAATCGACCTGGGCGGGCCCCGAATACCCTGCCGCCGCAGCTTGGCCTCGAGGATCCAGGGCTTGAGCAAGGGCTTCGTCACCGCCTTCCACACCAGAGCTACGCATAACGCCGCGATCGTCCATAGCCACATTGGCGCCATGGAAAAATGATTTAAGAGATTTCCTTTGAGGGAATAATGTGAGCAAGTTTATTTAGTATAGTACCTTGCTTGAGCGCCAAGCGATCTGCGAAAAAAAAAAATTGTTTGGTGCCCTACCGTGGCGAGAGATGACTGGCTGGGTTTTACCACATTGGCTGTCGCTTCCAAGGAATTTGGACCAATGCCTGCCAAAAGGAAGAGGTGTTTGAGTTCGCTTCTTCAGCTTCTACACGGTAGAGAAGAGATTCTTTTTGTATTCATCGAGATTCGAGTTCTTTGAAGTACATTCTTTCAATCCCAGCAATCGAGAAACCGTTGTTTTCCCGAAGACTTCTTCAGCGGGTCCCGATTTCTTCACGCCAATTCAGCAAATCTCCAACCCACCTCTCTTCTGTTACACCAAGAACGAATGGGGCTTATGCTTGTGTCTAGGATTTCCTCTTTGAATTAAGAAATGGCTTCTCGTTGTGGTCCGGACCCGTTTGAAAGCCCACTCTGAACTATGTCTTCAAAGTTGACCTCGACCCTGACATAAACCCACTCTGAACCATGTCTTCAAAGTTGACCTCGAGCCTAGCTCATCGCCAGGGTGCTTTTCTGTGCCGCTTCAGACCAACTTCAACCTCTACGTTGGGAAGTTGCTTCCCATTCAGTGAGTGAATTATGGCCAAACCCTTCACCAAACTTCTAGGCACAGCTTTGTGGGCCCAAAAAATATCACTTTGATAGTAAGCATACATGCTCTTTAAATTCAAGGAGAAGGATTTGTAACAAAGAAGAAAGAGTAATAGACAATAGTACTTGAAGAAAGACCAAGTCATTTCCATAGATGTAATTGTTGAAAGTTGAATTTCTTATAGTCTGTGCAAACTTTTTTTTTGAAATAGCATATTAGTGGCCTAATGTGAAGATATAAGTATTCCACTAAGGAATTTAGGATTAAACCCACTAGAGAAAATTAAATTGCCATATGTTAATCTCAACATATAGTGTGATTCCCCTAGCCAACTAAAAGAGTTTAACCAAAGCCTAATACTAAATGTAAACTCTCGAGTTTGGAGGTCACCTAACCCAATATTACTCAAACCCAATGACATTTAACCCTAAATATCCTAAAACCTTTAATTAATTGAAAAAGGGTACCCTTATTCATGAGCTTTTTCTTTTTATATTTAAATCTTAATAGATTATTTCTCAAGTCATTTTACCCCTAGTCACATTTATGACACCATAAGCTATTGTACTATAACTTCTAGTGCTTTTTAAGGTATTTGTTCAAGAATAACTTGTTAATTTAGGATGAATTTATGATGCTCGTCCTTGCTATTTGATTTAGCATTTGCTCCAAACTTTGATCAACTCCTTATATGATCTATCTTAATTTGTATTACACCCTCATTAAAATATATTGAGCATTAGACAAAGATTTTTCTCTTCATTAGAATCCAAACTCCATCCTCTTCATATTTAATAAAGATGTAAAAATAGACTCAATCATCCATTTTGCCAACTGTTCATCACAAGATATATAGCAAAAACCTAAACTTCAAACACTCAAAGATGGGAGACTTTAGGTTTCTTACCTATCCATGCCTTACAAGGAGTCTAAACATTGTTGATAGGCTCTAAAGTTAATATATATGTGAAATGCCTCTCCAAAAACATGAAGTAATATTTTTGGCTTTCATTATAGAATATATTACATTTCTAGAATGCCATTCTAGCCAAGTTCATTTGCCATCGATTTTTATTGAGAAATTCCCCTTTTATGTAAATAGCATCAAACTCCCTATTCAGGAACTCTAACCCTCCATCAATATAAACAGTTTTGATATAAGTAACTATATCTTTGTGATTCTACTCAAGAACAAAGCATAAATTTGGTCAATGTTCCAAGTTTAGATAGCTAGAGTTGAGCATAAAACTAGAAAATGGCTCATCCACAATGAGCAAAAAGCACCTTGATCCTTCAATAGTGATGTTTTGACCCATTTGTACAATATTAAAGTAAAAAAATTTTAAAATTTCTATACCTTATTGAGCTTTTGTTTTTTTAAAGATTTCTTTAATCCACTACAAAAATCTATACACCTATTAGGATTGAAAGTTTTGTGCTATAGCTCTATCATTGAGATGTCCCCAACATGAGCCACCATGCTAGAAACACTTTTATATAGCAAGATATAAAAATCACCATCTCATTGGGCAAAAGTCATTAGATTGATTTATCATTCTTTTCAGCATTATGATCTTGGTTTTGAACTTGCCTAAATTTTTTGAAATCTCACTTATACTAATCCACATCCTCCTCAAAAGCCACTTCATCTGACTATTGTAATGTTGTAATCTCCCCAGACATGACCTCCCAAATTCCACTATGCCCTAAAAGCTTACAATCATCTCATTGCTAATGTTTATTAAAACTAAGCAAAAGAAACCATGTAAAGACCCACTCCAATGGAACAAAGAAAATAGCAAAATAAAAGTATCTTCAAGTATAGTCTTAACATACTTTAATTTTTCCCTTGATGCTCTATAGTGTCTCATAATGCTCCAGTTGTCATGTCCTTTGTCATTCTTTTGGCTGTACCTAATATATGGGATCAACATGAGAATGATGTGATACTTTTAGATTCAAGTGGTAAATATCATGCGTGGTAGGTAAAAGGAAAGAATTTACATTCTTGTATTAAGAGTTATTATTTCTCTAGAATGGAAAATTTTCCAAAAATATTTTAAGATTTTTCAATAGTTGATCTATTGATCATTTATCCTAAAAACCATTTTATTTTTATAAGTCATTATAAACTAGTGAAGTGACTTTAGTTTACTTAGATATTAATAAATGGTTTATTATGATGTGGTTAAAGCAATTGAGTTGGATAAAGTTTAAAGTTTTAATAAAAAAAGTCAATAATATTTTTTTATAAAGGTAATCTTTATGCATTTCTTATATAGTATTATATGCACTTTACATTTGGGTTAGACTCTATGAGAGTAGTAAACTTTCATTGATCTTAATTTGATTTTAGTGGCCATTTACCTTGGCTAAGGATAGGAATGTCCAACTTAGTTAATATGTTTATTAAAGGTTGTGTACCTATATAAGTACATCTGATGGTCTTTACTTTAGTTTTAGTTGGGTGTTGATCATTTATAGTTAGCCTCTTTAATTATATTTAGAGTTATTAACTAAACATATTAGTGAGCTTATTGTGGTTCAATTGCATTTGAGTAGTCATTTATCTATACTTATCTATGTTTTTATATGTTATACCTAGATGTAGAGTATATGAATTTGGAGATGAACTCTAAGCCCATTGCATTATGAATTGAGGGTCTAATATAGATTTAAATCCTCTATGAGCACTAGCTTCTTATATTCAACTCTTACATATAAAATAGTGTTAGATAAAGTTGGACATAATTTTAGCATACTGGTGGCTTAATGAGAGGGTAAGGGTAGCCCATCTATTAAAGTAGTATAGAGCTTGGGTTTCAACCTAAGTAAAATGCAAAACAAAGAGTAACATATCCTAATGGAAGCCAAATTAATATCTCAAATGGTTTATCATGCTATGATAGGTTTGTTTATTAAATGGTATTGCGAAGGATTGTATTATTGGGCTTGTATGGTTTTCCTATGTTGGTATATTGGTTTCACCTCTATTAATAATGTTTGGCATGGTAGTGGATTATATTGAGTCTTGGACATAATGATTCACTCCTTGAGGATGTATTATTTATAATTGGGTATTAATAAAAGATTGGTCTTAGATATTAAATATAATATCTTTGACTTTTGTTAATTTAGTTGCTAGAAAGTTTTGAGTGGTGGTTTGCTCTTGCTTTCTTTTAATTTTGTTTTGGTGTTGATAGTGTTAAAGTAATCTTGATGTTGATATTGTAGAAGTTAAAATTAAAGTGAGATTAAATATTTTTCCATGGTATATTGAGGAAGTTAAATTTTCCCATCTATAATGATTCAAATGATTGATGATTGGTTAAACTCTCATTAGAGATTGACATTTAGTTTTGCTAGTCTTAATGAAAATGGTGTTAATGGTTTGGCTATACTTTTATATTATTGACATTCAAGAATTTGTTAGATAGCAATTATATTGGCATTCAAACTAATTGAGTGATAAGTTAAGTTAATCTTAGTCTAAATGAGATTATTTAGTAAAGTGTTGCTCTTAAAAAGTGGTTTAATCATGAATTATACTAGCTTTGTAAAATGAAGAATTAATGATCAATATTAAAGTTGTTGAGTCATTGATAATTTGAGTTTGTGAGGGCTAAGTGTACGGCTACGATGCCGTATACTAATATTAGCGTAGTGGATTTTGGTAGCCGTCGGATTGGTTTCAATCCGGACCACTCGCTCCTGTATATAAACTAGGGTTTTTGGGTTAATTGATATGCACATTTCTGTATTCCCTTTCCATATTCCATGCACTCACATTGGTGGAGATGAGGGGCACCTTTGATTGTCCCTGGGAGTGCTTGGATTTGGGATTTCGGTTTAGATCTAGCTTTTGCATTGTCTAGATCTAGCTTTTTCCATTTCCTTTCTTTTGTTCTTTCCTTTCAGGATTTTGGTTTAGATCTAGCTTTTTGCATTGTCTAGATCTACCATTTCTTTCCAGCTTTTTGTCATTTCTCTTCTTTTGCTCTTTCTTTCTCATTCATTTTCATGGCCGATCCGCAATCTCCTCCTTTGACTCTAGAGCAGCAGTTGGTTCAATTGCTTGATGCTATGCGCTTGCAATTGAACAACCAAACTCAGTTGATGGCGGCGTTCACGGCACATGGTACAACTCCTCCTGCTTTTGGTGCCAATCCTCGCGTTCGGCCGGAGTTCTTTCGTGGGAATCCTGGGGATGATGTGTACCATTGGTTCGATCACTTCACGGTGATTGCCACATATCATTCTTGAGATGATGCTCGACGTTTGCGTGAGTTCCCCACATGTCTTCAAGGGACGGCATTGCAGTGGTACAATGGATTGAGCGCAGCTACTCGTGGCGATTGGAGTGTTCTTCCGGACGTCTTCAAACGCGCCTTTGGACACGCCGACGATTGTGATGATGCCTTCCAACAATTGCATCGTCTTCGCCAAGGGCCATCTGAGTCGGTGATGCAATTTGGCGTTCGTTTCCGAAGTCTTTTGCTTCGTGCGGAGCCAAATATGTCGGAGCGGATCAAGCTAGGAATGCTGTGGCCAGCACTTCGTCAAGATCTTGTCGGACTTGTGCATGCACTTGCACCTGCCACTCTTGACGATGCTCTTCGCTTGGCACAACGTTATGAGACGTCGCCTCTTCCACTTCTTGCTATACGTCCTTCAGCTCCACTTCCTATGAGTGATGGTCCTGTTCCCATGGAGGTTGATGCTGCTGCTA